GAGAGAGAAGGCTGGTCCGAATGGCGGTTTCGCGGCCTCGCAGACGGTCATTTGTCTCCTGCAACGCCTGCCTCGGTTCCGCGTTCCATCTGCGTCACAAGTCAGTGCGTTCACCTTGCCTCGAGTTATCAAAATCGGATCCCCGATGCGATAGCCCGTCCACAAGCGTGTATTCTTGGACCTCGATCGTACAGTTGGCCGCAAAAGTACTAATATTGTATATTGCCGACTTATTAATCGATATATTTTGCGAAAAGTTATTGTACTGTCGGTAAAAAAGAGAAAAAAGTCGATAACAATTTTTACGCGGTAATAATTTTATTATTTATTATTTTACGGTACTACGGTTTAATTGTTTATTTTTGTAATAGAATGTACGGTGAAAAATCATACGTTGAAAAGTATAATAGAGAGAGTATTAGAAATAATACTCAGAAAACTGAATATTTTGAGATCAACTGTACGAGTATACCATATGCAGGTGAAAAAAACTAATTTTCTAAGTTGAATTGTTAATTTTTTCTCTTCTTCATTTTTTTTTTTTTAATTGTTTATACGTGATTCATTTATTTTTATACGACTATCGTATTCTTTACTCCGTTTGTTAATTTTGATAGATTGGTGTTTTACCGAGTATTGAATATTCAACAGATTCCTTCCTCAAGTTTAAATATCCCTTTTCGATCCCGAGTTTCGCAGCCACGAAAGGGAATTCGAGCGTGACGTAATCTGGTCAAGGTGGACTTAAGTAGTCAAGTTTCCTAAAGCTTTTTACCCGATTTGAGTCGCGCGAGAATCATATATCGATTAAAAAGAAAGTTCATTCGAAAGCATTTAGAGAAAAAATCGGAATAAAAGAACAATAGATCGCGTGCTATCACGCAAGAATGAGAATTTTGAGAAAACGCGCGTAACTTCTACTTCCGTTATCTGAAAATCCTTCTATTTTCCATTAATTTTTCACTCTCTTCGATTTATACGTAGCAACACTTATCTTCTCCTTTACGTACATACGTAAATACTTTTTCCATTTACTTCTATTTACACGAAAAAGAATTCACGCGAATTCGAAAAATTTCCTTCGCTTTTAGACGAGATAATTCGAGGACGCGAAAAAACGCACAACGCCCGATCGCAACTTCGCAAGTTTGCGTTTGCAACTTGCTCGGCAATTATCCGAGCGCCGCGCATGCGATTCGTATATATACGAAAAATAAAAGGGAAGAGAGGCGCGAGAGCCACGCTCGACGAGTTTTACCTGCACGAGACGATGCTGAATACACGCCGGCATCCAGCACGCACGATCTCTCCTTGCAATCGCGAACAGTTTCGTACGGCGTGGAGCGTCCTCGTCCTTCCAGGATAACAGGACGATGCCACCGTGGTGAGGAGAAGAA